GACTTGTCTCATACATGTACTTTGTATAATGTCGCATGTGATCATTAAATTTGACTTGACTTGACTTGACTTGACGAAAGATTCAACATCTTAAGACTCATAATTCAAGGAAAAATAGAGAGTAGGACAAGTGTAGGAAGAAGGCGCGTTCCCTGGTTGAAGAACCTGAGAGAGTGGTTTGGCAATTGTTCAGAGCAGCTGCCTCAAAGGTCAGAACAGCCATGATGATTGCCAACCTTCATCGCGGAGATGACACTTAAAGAAGTATCGGTACGAATGTTTTTTTACAAACAGGAATTAATTCTCTTAAGGTGTTCATGGTAGACTTCACACTGAATGTTTTTGGTTTATTTAGGAAGTTTTCTTTAATTTTCGTATCAGGTCTTTTTGGATTATTTATCACGCAGTGCTTCAATACAAACATGTCTTGATAGCATTTAGACTTTTTTCAATAAAAGCTTTCGTTGAATCAGTGGCGGCTCGTGGCTTGAGAGACAAGGTCGGCAAGGTATTTTTTGTCTCCTCAGATAGGTATACCGTCTAATAAAGACTTCAATCATCATAGGAGATGTTTTGTTTTCTTGTTTTTTGTTTTTTTTTGTTTTTTTTTTTCTATAAATTTAGAACCTAAACATGTTTATAAATTAACTCTAGTCTACGTTGTTTGGAAGTAGCAAAATGGGTAATAACGTCATCGTAAAATTTATTAGAGTTTTGGGGAGACTTTAAAAGTTTTTTTTTTCTATTGACATTTGAGACAAGCTTGACATTCGCTCTTGTTTCATGCTGTTTCGAAAAAACGTTTTGATTCTTTTGAGACAAGAGAAATCTCGTTCATTTGAGGCAGACGTTGGTGGTAATGAGAGAATTAATGACAATAATTTATTAATTTCGGTAACAGTTTATTCTAATGAATTGCAGTATATAAAATTATACATATCTTGTAACTTATCCCATCTTCCGAAAATATTTGGATCAGCATATAAAACTTTTAATTCACTTTCTAATTTTATTTTATTAAAGAATGATGGATAATTTTTAATTAACCTATCTAATAAATATATTGGAAATTCTTTGGCGTAACTTTTAAATTTTGAATCGTCAAAGAGGTCAAAAATTTGCAAATCTTCAAAATTTGAAAAACGAGTATCTATTTGCATAATAATAGTATCCAAAATTTCAAAATATACTCATTTTTCGAGATCTGTTTCTGTGTCATGCCTTTGTCTTTTTTTTTTGGGTTCGGAAATAACAAGCGAGTCCAAAACGTCACTGCGTATATACTGGAAATTACTATCATTACGAAAATCTCTGAGATTTTGCACCAGTCTTGTTATTTTATTTTTGGAATGAATAATGTCAGTTAACTGATTTTGAACAACATTGAATATCAAATAGGTTTGGGTAAACACTTTCTTAAAAATATTTAAAAGTATGTTAAAAGGTAATCATTTAATAAAGTTTTCAAACCGATTGCTTCACGGATCGAGATATCATCACTTTCAAAATCGTCACATTCAATAATAAAATCGAAAACTTCCAAAAGCTGTTCACGAAAATCTGCTACAGTGAAAACTAACCGAGATTTAAAATTCCATCGCGTCTGACAAACTGTTGGCATTTTTTTCGAAACAAACCGTTCTAAAACATTAGTCCGTTTAGGCGAGCTTGAGAAAAATGAAGCAAATCCGCTTAAACTGGCAAAAAAAAGACGACATTCTTTAATTTTTTTACATGTATCTTGCAAAAATAAATTCATTCTATGCGCATGACAATGAGTAAATAAAGCTTGCGGTGCAATAGTTTTAACTTTTGCCTGGAGACCATTTAATTCACCAGACATCACGGCAGCGCCGTCATAAGTTTGCCCTACCAATTTATTTTTGATATCAAAAAATTTTAATCTGTCCTTTAAAACACCAAAAATATGTTCTGCCTTATGGCTTTTACTCACGTCTGTAAAACCCAAAAACCTCTCATAGATATTACCACGTAACGCGTATCGAACAACAATTGATAATTGTGAATGACATGATATGTCGGTAGTTTCATCTACTTCTAGTGAAAAGCAAATGGTTTCCTGAATCTCAGATTCAATAACGTTACTCAAAATGTAACTAATTGATTCTATTAATTCATTCTGGATTGTTTTAGATACACCGCTAAATGTCTTCGAATCAGAAAGTAAATTAGATAATTCCAAATCGTATTTCTTAAACATTTTTATTGGTTCTCTATAATTATCTTGATTTAACGAATGCTCCGATTCATCGTGTCCCCTAAAAGATAATTCCTGACAACTTAAAACAATTACAATATCAATTAAACGACGTAAAACTGCGTGATTATTTTTTACAATTTCGTTATGTTTAATAGCATTTTCATGTTGGGCATTATCTAATGAAACATAGATATTTTGTTTTCCAAATAAATCTAATTTAATCTGGCTGTAAGTATGATCTTTCGAAATATCATATTTATGTAAAGCCCTAAATAATTCCTTTAAATTATCGTAACCAGATTCACACCACGGATTTTGATGTTTGCCCCTATTTGTCGAAAATAAAATGCAAGGCTAACAGAAAAGTTTGTTTTGTTTTTCACTCCCGGTAAGCCATGAGTAATTGCTGTACCAGTTATCTGAAAATGATCTATTACTTTCCTTACCCGCACTAATATTTATAAGCCGGGACATTTTAGGCAAAGGACGCCCCTTATTTTTAATAACAATTTGTTCTTCGTATGGAATAGATGAAAACCCATTATGCAAAATATAATTTACAATATCAGACTTATCAATACTTATAGTTTCTCCCATGGTTTGCATTTTTTAGGTTAATTTACCTGAATTTGTTTACACTTTAATTAAAAAAAAACTTCTAATATGTCAAAAAACCCTTTAACCTTTAACTATTTACGGCAGACGTAACGTATCACAGTATTACTTTAGACAATAAAAATAAATCACAAAAAGAAAGACTAGTTCGTGCACTGAATATCACTTTACAGGAACGTAGATTCCTTGTGACTTCACTTTACTACATATATGAAATAACATTTCGTCCCACGCTCGCAATGTACAGTTCGCGACCAATCACTAATCCAAATGAAACATCGGCAAATTTAAATTCGCCGTACTTGGTAATTAAGTTCATATGGAAAGAAATATATATTTGGTTGCTAATCAACCAATATTCCGTTGATTTTTACAAGTAAAGTCAAGGTTGGGATCGGCTAGCCGAAAAAACAAAACGTGCCTTTTTAAGAATTCATAGGCGGATGAATGTCTCCGATATCGAATAATCTATTTGAAAAGTGTATACGCAGGGATCACTTATCGCTCAGATTGGACGAATTATTTAAAAACCATGAATAAAATTTAGTCTGGTCAAATTATTTTAAAAACCATGCATTAAATTTAGTCTTTATTATCTCACAGATATTTTTTTAGTTCACAAAAACAAATGACATCAACTGATTACCTGCCACAATTATTTATTGAAATACTGATTAAATTAAATACTTAAAAAATTTATAATATCTATAAAGATGTGGGTCGGCACTGCCGACCCTGACCGGCCGCCACTGCGTTGAATTGTCTGATATCGGTCATTGTTAACGAGGAACATTGGTGAACTTTAGTGTTATGAGCGCTCCTGAGAAATTCAAAAAGGTATTGCCGAGAATACCTAAAAAAATAAAAGGATATAATCAGATGAGTTGTTAAAGAAAAACTTCAGTGTAAATATACCTTTGTTTTTTTGCTATTTCTCGTTTAGACTGATCTTTATTCACCAATGGTTTTCACCCGTTACAAACTGGACTTGTGCTGGTTCAATAATAGTATTATTCATGTTTTTAATGTTTAATCATTGTTTATTTTCGTTAGCACTAATTCATAACGTACGTTTACTACATCATCATCATTCATCATCCAGCCTCAAGAGTCCACTGCTGAACATAGGCCTCTTCCTCATGTTTCCAACCCCGTCTATCTTGCGCCGCTCTTATCCAGTTTTTATTGAGTCTTCTTAAATCGTCAGTCTATCTTGTAGGTGGTCGACCGACGCTTCTCTTGTCTTCCCTTGTGTCCTGCTCATCTCCATTTTAGTCTGGCTATCTTCTCGATGATGTCAGTCTCTCCGGTTCTTCTCCTGATGTCTTCGTTTGTTATTCTGTCTCGGAGAGTTATTCCTAACATGGACCGCTCCATTCTTATCTACGTGACTCTCAGTTTGGTATCTGCTGTTTTTGTTAAGGTAAGTGTTTCTGCTCCGTACGTCAAGACTGGGAGGACGCACTGATCAAATACCTTTCTTTTTAGGCATGTGGGCAGCTCACTTTTAAAAGTTTCTCTCAGTTTTCCAAATGCTGCCCACCCAAGGCCGACTCTTCTCTTCAGTTCATGAGTCTGGTTATCTCTGCCAATCATAATTTCATGTCCCAGGTATTTATATCTATCTACGAGTTCTATTTCTTTCCCACCAATACTGATGTTCTGGTTGGGCACGTTTACTACGTTTGGTCCTAATGTGAGTACAAAGTATGAATGAAATACGAGTTTAATAACAAACGCTTGCCTTTGTACGTAACAAGTGTACACAAATGTCTGCTTTTGCATCTAAGGCTAAATTTCAACTGTGAATAATGCCATTCAAATGTCTTTTTATGAACATATGGTTCAGAAAAACGGATTCCTATCAATGTTTACATATGGAATCCATATATTACTAATTAAAAAAAAATGTCAAATGTCTGGTTTTGCTTTCATTCTAAATTATTATTTATTATTTACGTAAAAACTATTTCTCAGAATTTTCCACAACTTTATTAGTACATATTTTAACTGTATGTTGAGCGAGTCACATAAAGGTTTTCTTTGTTGCGTCACGTAGTTATCGAACGGCCTCGTAGATATCGACGATATTTACGAATATAAAAATATTAATTAATAAACATTTTTAGAATGTCTTTTGTATAACAGTTTTTTTTTGTTTCAGATTTAAATTAGTCGCCATCTGCTAGCTCAGCGTTTAAGACTGTTTTGCGGGGTGTGATCACTCTCATGCTGAAGTTTCGGCTGGTGTCAACCCATTTTTTGAAACAGCCATAGATACGATTATGTGTCGAGATAGAGATATGAACCCCATGTGTTCTCAGTCATAACTCATTAAAATCACTGTGACAAAGTTCTAACTTTATCATATTCATAAATTCTATTATTTATTAGAGATATTCATTACCATACATAAGTATTACAGTACTAATAAATAATTTTGTGAAAATAGAAGCTTTTAATAAAGGTAAGTGGTCTCTATTAATTTTTTTATTAAGAAATACTACATCAACCATAAAGAGTTGTTTGTGGTGGTGGTTAAGAAGTTTTACAATTGAAGACACGAGTGGATGAAGGTGCTATGTTACAAAATTTAGATTTTGAGAAAATTAAGGGTAAAGTTTTTCATTGTAAACTTTTCTCACATTCACTTTTATTAGGTAAAAATTTTTCTATGTCGTTACTAGTATATGGAATATGTTATTCAAGGAAAAAAATATCAACAAAAAAATGTGTCTTACTAAAATTTGAAAAAAACAGTACATAACACCTTCATCCACTGTATAATTCTAAAGAAATTAAAACAACTACTGTTTTATGGAAGAATCATGTATTAAAGAAAAACTTATCTAATCAGTTAACAAGATGTTATTGCTTAATATAAGGTAATAACAGTAATATAACGTAATACATTATTTACTTTTCTAAAAGGAACTGTTTCGTCATATGATTCTTTATACAAATAGGAACCATACTCTTCCACTCTTATCAATTTATTACCGTCTCTAAATCTGACTGTTTCATTTAGTTCGTCCTTTTTTCTGTTAGTAAGATTAAGTTTTTGCGGTAGATCAGCAATCCTTCTAAAGTGTTGAGCCATGTCGACGACTTGATTTTTTCGGCTAGCCTTTGAAATTATTTCCCGGTACGTATCTGGTACATATACCGTACCTTTTCGTGTTTTCGTAAAACCTCTATTCTTCCGAAGTCTCTGTCACAATCTAAGTAAGTATGGCCAACCTCAGGAAACTTGTGGTCAATACAACGGAAGTATCCCTTCAAAATAAGATACTGATAAAGGCAAATCATGTGGAAGTTCTTGTTCTGGCCCGCACATGAATCGGACCAGATGATCAGATACTCCTTTTTGGTGATGCTTTCGTCGACTTCAATATATCTGAGTAGAGAACTGCATATTTCTGCACTTCCTCTGTTTGCAAGATCTTCGGTCCAGGTACAAAAACATGCTTTGTCTAGGCCTTTTGTAGTAATATGCACCCCAAAATTATAAAACCACATTTGCCTAAGGTAAAATGCTTTGGACGTTGTTATTTTTGGCAGTGGCATTGTTTGTTGCATATCGATTGTAATATAGACCAAGTTGTCTGAATCTTTTGCTTTTTCCTTGTCAACTTTGAGCGCTTTAGTTGATGCTGTGTAGTTTTCTTTATGTCCATCGTTACATTCACCTCCATCACAGATACTACACGTATCACTTTTCGGATACCCAAATAATAAATTAAACTCTCGCGAAAAAATGTTGGAATATGAACATTTTTTAATTCTAAATTTTCCAGGAAGTTGTGCCAGATTACATTCCTCAAGATAGAACTCATACATTTTGCTCACATTTCCTAACATCTTGGCCTATTTTGTGTGGCCTATTGTGTCTCCGGGGGCGTGTCAGGCAGAAGCTGACCGCCGTGCCGGACGCATTTAGAAATTCGGAGAAATACTTGGAAATTCCAAGTGTGGGCAAATCCGAATTTCTAATTGACTCGATGTAGGGAAATTCCACTTTTACTACGTAAAACAAAGGATTTGTTTTATATAAAAGCAGACGGAATTTCTCTCATCGGGCAGTCGAGCTTGCCTCTTCTTCTGTAGACCTAGTCGGTGCTATTATTGTTCCGACTAAGCTATTGTTTTATTTCTTATTTCCTGATAACCATTTATATTTTTCTATTGTATATTCAGACCTTTTCAGGTTAGAATATTACTTTGACTTATATTTGTTCATATACTGATTATTTGATATTTTATTTGATTATTTTGATTGTTTATTTTTCTTGTATTTTGTATCTAAATTGTTCTTCCGTAAGTTAAGAACTCTTAGAAATATTTCTCTGATATTTGACTTGTTAATTTTATTGTGTGCCTAAGTCATTCTTTTCCGGTAAGTCAAAAGAACACTTAGAAATATTTTCATAACCATTATTGCATTATTATTTCCGATATTTATCTAAGATATTTTCTTAATATATTTGTCTCTTTTATTTTACCATTTCATGCTGTTGTTTCTTCCGTAAGTCAAGAAACACTTAGCAATATTTCCATATCTTTTCTGTATTTGATTTTCTTATTTTCTATTATAAGTTGTTTCTTCCGTAAGTCAAGAAACACTTACAAATATTTGTATTCTTTTTTTTGCTATATTTGATTCTCTTGTTTGTTTTCTGTTCTAAGAAACACTTAGAAATATTTCCATACATTGTTTCAAATTTACATATTTCATTTATCGATATTTCTGTCTTAAGTTGTTTCTTCCGTAAGTCAAGAAACACTTAGGAATATTTCTGCACTTTTCTGTTCTTTTATTCTTGTGTATTTTACTTTTCATTCTAAGTTGTCTCTTCCGTAAGTCAAGAAACAATTAGAAACATTTTCTGTGCATTGTATTTTTATATATCATTTTATTTCCTTGTTTACTAAGTTATTTCTTTCGTAAGTCAAAGAATACTTAGATTATTTTACCTGTTCTGTTTTCTATTTTGATCTGCTATTTTGTAACTGTTCCTTGGAACTGATACCTATAACAGATACTTGTCACGGTAACTGTTATTTTATACCAGTAGCAGTATTAACACGTTTTACCAGCGACAAGCAAAGATGCTCAATACCCGATCAAATTCCGGGGACAGGAAGAAGTCCGAAGAGCCGGCGATGGGTCCTACAGGCCCAAATGCCCCCTCTCGGCAACAATTGGAGTGCTTACCTCTGCGATCTGGAGGAGATGCTGCTACACCACCATTTATACGATTCTTTATAACATCAAGTTTTTTTCTGCCTATTTGGTATAGAGCGCATAACGCTTCTTTGCACACCTTTACGGTAATTCCATTTTTTGTAACGTTATACGTATATGACGCAGTTTTATGTTTAACAGCATCTTTTCTTTCCCTTAACACTGGTTTTTTAATGATTGATTTAAATAGTAAAGCATTTTTTGCATTATTATCAAGTCTATGAAATTCATCCAAAAATGCCTTCCGGTCATCTGCTGAAAATTTGGTGCTACAAGAAAATCTACAGCCTTGTCTACAAAGAATACCTTTTTCTGGCTCCTTTCTTGGAACGGGAATGTTTTTGTAAGACAAATATTCTTCACCTTTTGCTCTATCTAAAGCTGCTTTGCGTTTATTCCACGTATTTGGATCTCGTTTTCGTTTTTTGGAAACTTTTGCTGTCGTTGAAAAAATCTTCTGCTTTCTTTGTTTTTCATTTTCTTGGTCAACCTCGTTAGACCCGTTAGAAGGATTAATTATAGGCTTTTGAATAATCCCGCTTCCTTCTTTGTCTCCAGAAATGAATGTACCTCCAACAAGGTTTTTTACATGACTGTGGTCCGCTCTTTCTTCGTCCTCCGTGACACTAGTTCCTGAAGAACTGCTTCGTTCATTACTCGGAAAGTATTCAGCATCACCACTGCTGTCTGACAAGAATGGTTGGGTCCCCTCCAATCTGAAAATAAAAACAGCTATTTACTTATACTTATATTTTAATTCTTCCTAATTATTATTGTTTAAAAATTACTTTTGAAAAGATAGGGGAATCCCCGGAGCAATCAAGTGTAAATATTTATAACAGATGATAGTTGGGTTATGTATTTCAACCAGCTCATTTACACTTTTATATAAATATTATGATCTAAATACCTATTGCCCAAAATATAATAAAACTTAATTATTTCATAACAACAGGATTGCACTTACCTGTTACATTTGAAAATTCAATGTTGAGGTTAGAACTTGCTGTAAATTCATTTTCATCATTTGGCAAATTTTGTTCACAGTTTATTTGTTCCTGCACTTATTATGATATTACTGCAAAAAACTGTAATAATGACACAGAACACGTGCGCGCAATACCAACTCACCAAGTAAAACAAAATGGCCAGTGAGTGGATGAAGGGGTTATGTGTGTCACTTAACACCATCATTCATATGACGAAGGTATACAAAATATTACATGAATGTGGATGAAGGTATTTTGTGCCTATAACACCTTCTTCCATTATTCACTGGAAAATAATGTAACATAACTCCTTCATCCTTTAAAAAACCTAGACTTCTGTTACGAATCTTAGAATTCTAATGTGGCCACGTGATAAACAGGTACATAATACCTTCATCCATACAAAAAAAACCATTTTTAGAAAAATGTTACATAGCACCTTCATCCACTCGGGTCTTCAATTATTTAGCTTATAAGCAGTGGCGGCTGGTGATAATTTTGTTCAGGCAGGCGCAGATTCCAGAATACAAAAAATAGGTAGTTTAGAGTGGTCCACAGTGAGACTTTTTAGTCATTCCATATTTTTTCACAATTATTTCTATATATATATTTAAAACAAACAATTTAATCCTATCAATTGGCCTTTATTTTACAAAAATACACAACAGAACTAGATTTGAACTTGAAAACATAAGTGTTAAAAAGATTTTGAGGTTGCAAAGTGTCTTACTATGACTTACAGTGGTCTACACTGAGACACACAGTGGGCCACAACGAGACATCGTTCATTGAACATGTAGTACGCCAAAATTCATGTCGAACTAAACAATTATTTTGCCCATTCTCCATATAACACGAGTACAGGTAAAATCATTACTATGTCTTACGATAAACCACTAGTAACTTCTAGTTAGCCCATGTTTTCTTGGCCTATGTAGATATTACCGACGTTTTGTCAAATGATTTGCCAAAATCTCCAAGCCATTAACAAAGTTGACAGAAGGCAAAGAATATACATGGAGCGAAGAGTGTCAAAGAGCTTTCGAACACTTACAGATGGCTCTGATCAGTGCACCGATTTTAAGCTACCCTAGACAAGCAAGAAAATTTGTGTTGAACACCGATGCAAGCAACAGTGCGATAGGAGCTGTTCTCTCCCAAATCCAAGATGGACAGGAGCGCAAACTTTAACAAAGTCTTGTCGAAACCAGAAAGACACTATTGTGTTACCAG